CCCCCCCCCCCCCCCTCCCCCCGCTGATCTCGCCGCCACGCTGGAAAACTACATTTTTGCTCGCTCGCGGGTTTGTGGCGACATTTCTCGGGGCATGACTCTTGCTTGGTTGCTTGCGTCCATGTGCGCTGTTCACGCTTTTTAATCGTAGGGCGAGGCCGTGGTTCGCTGCGGCGCCGACGCTACTTCGATTGCGGTGCTACCTCCGGACGCCCCAAACCGGTAAGGGTCAGGCCGCCCCCCGCCGATGCCGTGCATTGAGCCGCGTGCTTGTGCGTACCGAAACAAGAATCGCTGCCTGCGATATTTGTGTGGAAACTTGTGCTGTTGGTGCCACTACTGTTGTGACAATTGGTTCCGTATGATCCGCGACTGTGCCGGCTGCTGTACATGCTGTACACTCGCTATGCTCACAAAGATAGAATCGTCGACTTCGTAACACTAAATAATTTCATCGTCGGTGTTGTTCGATTTTCGTTTTTTTTTTGTTGCTCTGTAGTGCGTGTTATTGTTCTTCCTCAACACAATAGGTTCCCAACCGCGTACCCCAAATTCTCCCCGGGTGCCCTTGTACCTTGTCAAAACTTTCTTTCTACTCCATCTTTGTTTTTGCTCGGGTACTGCTGGTTGCGACATCGTAGATCTATTTCCTGCGCATTCGACCATGTGTTCGGTGGTCACGCTAGCCAGGAGGACGTGTTCAAGGAGGTGTCGAGCTTCGTGCAGTCCGCGCTGGACGGGTACAAGGTGCGGACCCCGGCTTGTTTACATTTGTCTGTCTATTGGGATTGGTTTTTTTGACAACGACGACGACCATTTCGTGTACTTCGTTTGGTCTGTTTCTGTTACTGGCCGACCGTGTGTTGGGACTAGTTCATGAGTTTACGCTCCTGTTCTTGGCTGGTTACTCAGCCTGTTTTCCTGAGCGATGTGGAGATTGTGTTTGTATCTCAACCAGCAACTGCCTGAAGTGTCTTCTGCCCTGAAACAGGAGACGCTGCGCGATCCCGCCAGAAAATGCAGATGGACAAACTACGGCCGATCTCGCAGAGCTGCTACGTTTCCACGTTGCCAGATGTAGCCTTACTTCACCTCTTCGAGTACTGTGTTCTCCGTCAAACGCCATTGTTTGGCCGTGCGTGCGTGAGCACCAGCCCCAGTTTTGCGAGGATGCTTCTGGTGTGTCAACCGCAGTTTGTCGGGTGTTTTCGTGTGGTATCGTTTGATAGGTGTGCCTGTTCAGCTGCAGTAACCAATCATGTGGCGTGCTTCGAAACTAACAAGACATGTTGTCGTGTGGGTGTCGTTTGATAGGTCTGCCTGTTCAGCTACGGGCAGACGGGCAGCGGCAAGACCCACACCATGACGGGCTCCGGGACCGGGATGATGAGGGGCATCGTGCCCAGGGCGGTCGAGCACATCCTGGCCAGGGTCGGGGAGCTTCAGGTGTGCGGGTTGTTTGCTTGCCTTTCTTTGGCCAGCGTCCATCAAGCTGACCAACGGGCAGAAGCTATGTCTGTGTGTGTGTGTGTGTGCTCGAGGACTGGAGCGTATTCCGGTAGTGTTCACACTTTGAAGACGCTCTTGCTGTTGTTGTTCATCCGGTGAAGCAATCGTAGAGGTAGCCGATACCTCCCCCGCACGCACCTGGGTTGGGACCCTTCTACATAGCGCAAGGAACTAGTGTAGGCTCGGCATTGCTTTGAAAAAGCTGAGGCGCATAGCACTGGTGCTTGACGCTCGACCGTCGTCTTCCCTTGTCCCGCTCCGCCTAGCTGCTTGGCTCCTTTCTGTCTACGACCAAAACGCCACACGTTTGTGTGGAAAAACCAAAACTTCGAAACAACGCTTGTGTTTCCGTGCCGTGGTGTCGCGATCCGATCGACCGAAATAACAACAACAGGACGGCCCCTGGAAGTACGGCGTGCAAGCCTCCTTCCTGGAAATCTATAACGAAGAGCTGCGCGACTTGCTGGTGGGGCACGACGGCGGCGGCGACGCCTCCTTGGCGAAGCTGTCCATCAAGAAGTCGGCGGGCGGGGGCACGGAGGTGGCCGGTCTCACCAAGTACGACATCGACACCGGTAAGTTTCTCTTTGTGATATGATAGTCGTCGTTGTTGTTGTGATTCTTGCTCGAAGGCGCTTTCTAGTCGGCGCCCCAACGCTTCCTCTGTGCATGTATATACGGCGGTGGTGGCAACTGGGGGCGAGGGGGGTGGGTTTCGGAATCAGTTCAATACAGTACCTCACGAAGGGGTCCAACCCCCCCCTCCTATGTGACCCCGGTTGGGTAGTCTAGCTAGTAGAAGTGGAGGATAGGGGCCAGAGGGGCAAACGACAGAGTCCGATGATGGGAGAAAAAAAAAAAAGTACCTTGGTAAGGCAAATCGTAATTCACGACCTGTCTCAAACGATTGTGTTCGGCCCACATGGACGGCATTCATGCACTCACTTTCTTGTGTTTTCTTCTTGTGTGGTGTGCTTTATTGCCCTGCCGTCATCAACATGCCAAAAACAAACAAAATAACGAACAGGGGACCAACAGCAAGGACTGGTGGAGCTGGGTGAGATCATGCGCGCGGCACAGAGAAGCCGTAGCGTCGCGTGCACGGCCATGAATGCCGAGTCTTCACGCAGCCACAGCGTGTTCACCCTGTGGCTCACGGGGGTGGATGCATCTACGGGAACGACTCTCAAGGTGCGTTTGCCGCTGCTTGCGTGGTTTGCGTACGCGTGGTTCAAACACATGCAACGCGAAACAACAGCAACAACAGCGTACCCACGCCACCCCTTCTTCACCGCGGAGCAGACTAACTTTGGACCAGTTCTACACACACCCTTCTCTCTAACTCTGCGCTTACTTTCCGAGCCAGAGAAGCTTTCGACCTTGGATTGAACTTCAACAGCATCCGACTCCCCTTGCGTTTTTCCATCAACGTACTCATGAAGCAACGGCGTCCTTGATCACGGACAGCGCATGTATCACACGTCAGCGTTGCTTGAGTCTAAGATATAATCACCAAAAGGAACAAGTTCTGTTTTCTTTACGGTTGTTTTTTTCTTCCGGAGTTTCCCTCGGACAAGTATGCCAGCACTTACTGCTGAAGATTGTTAACCGCTGCATATTGGACGCACACCAGTTGCACATCTTTCGACCCCCCCCTCCCTGCCCCCCCCGGTGTTTGCCATCGGGGTTGGGTTTCGTCGCTTGGCAACGACGGTGTAAAACAAGCCAGTTCACTTCGTGAACTCGGCAACCAGGTTACCGTTTTTTTTTTTACCTCCGGTTTTTTTTTTTTCGGTAACCATAATGGTGGTCGAGTAGATCATGTTGTGCGGGGTGGAGAACCCTCACTCCGCGCAAGGGGGATGATCGCACCACGTTGTGTTAAAATGGTCAAGCACCCTCGAGGCAGTTACACAGTGCTTACAACTGTCTCTGGAAGTGAAAGCACCAGAAAGTAAATTAATTCATACGCAGCTGTCATCCGTACGCAAGGAAGTAAGCACAAGATGCCGAACACCCTTAGCAGCATGCAGCGCACCCTTCATGCGAGGTTATAAAACAAGCCCATTCACTTCGTGAGCTCGGCAACCAGGATACCGTTTTTTTTTTCCTCTTTTTTTTTGGCGGTAACCATGATGGTGGTCGAGTAGATCATGTTGTGCGGGGTCGAGAACCCTCACTCCGCGCAAGGGGGATGATCGCACCACGTCGTGTTACAATGGTCAAGCACCCTCGAGCCAGTTACACAGATCTTATAACTGTCTCTGGAAGTGAAAGCAACAGAAAATGAATCAAGTCATACGCAGCTGTCATCCGTATGCAAAGAAGTAAGCACAAGATGCCGAACACCCTTAGCAGGATGCAGCGCACCCTTTATGCGACTCGCCGAATATCTCACGGCGCTTCGCCCTTGGTGATGTGAGAGCCTGGTCCGGTGAGAACCCGGCGTGCTCCGTCCCGGCTTTGTAGGGATGCGAGGTCAATGGTCTAACGACTACGGCATGCACGACTATGAGTACATCCCCCCCCTCCCCCTCCTCTCCCGAGGTCAAATTTCAATCGACTGCGGCATGCACGACTTTGTGTACACCCCCCATCCCCCACCCCCCCCTCTCCCTTTTATTATTTACTGAAGGGTGTATCGTGCATGGCTGCTTCTGTCTCCCCAGAGCAACAAACACGCAGCAGTATGTCGACTGTTGTTGAAATGAAGCCCCGGATTTGTACGTGCAAACAGGTATCACTGCAAAATGTTTCCTTCGCATAGACATGCTGAAATCCCTCTACCTGCGTATGACCCCTGCCCCCCCCCTTCACCTCACCTGTCTATCGAAACGCCTCGCCGGACAATTACGTGGCGCAACAGGGGGTCCTCCACCTGGTCGACCTTGCCGGCAGCGAGAGGCTGGACAGGTCCGGTGTCGGGAACGACGCGCAGCGGCTGCGGGAGACGCAGGCGATTAACAAGTCCCTCAGCTGCCTGGCGGACGTGTTCTCCGCCCTCTCTGCCAAAGCGTCGCACGTCCCCTTCAGGAACTCCAAGCTCACCTACCTCATGCAGGTGTGTGTGTGTGTGCGTGCGCGCGCGTTATGCTTGTCTTCGAGAAAGCGCCGACGTCGGTACTACAACCGGCTGACCAATGACAAGACAGCAGTGTTTTTTTTGCCTACCCCGTGGCGGTGTTGTTCCCGCGCCGGCGGCAGGGCGTGCGCTTGTGTCTCTTTTGTTTCATATTGAAAATTTGACGTATGATTACGTTCTTGCTCGCCTTCACGAACTGCACACAGCTTGTATCCGTGTCTGATTTTCACCTCTCACATTGGCCGGCGGCACTCATTTCGCTAAAGTTGGTCTCCCTTCGCATTGAAACATTGTGAGCGTGAATGCATGTACATAAAAAAGGCGCGTTTCCCTGTCGCACGCGCGTGTACGCTATGGTACGGCAGGACTGCTTGTCAGGAGACGGGAAGGCGCTCATGTTCGTCAACCTGTCGCCGACGGCAGCGTCGGCGAACGAGAGCGTCTGCAGCCTCCGCTTTGCCAACCAGGTGAGCCAGGTCCACCTGGGCAAGGCCAGCCGCCAGATGACCCTCAGCAAGCCGCCGGGCTCCGGGCGCCTGAGCATCAACGGCGGTGGCGGCGGCGGACGCGGTCCCAACAGCCCGACCCGCTCCCATGTCGGCCGAGTCGCCCGAGCCTCCGGCAGTGCCGCCTCGACGGCGCCCCCTAGCCCCGGCAGCAGCCACGGCGGGAGCTTCGGGTTCGGACGCTTGAGCACCGCCGGCGGCGGTGCCGCGGGCGGCGGTGCCGCGGGCGGCGGCGGGAGGACGTCCACCACGGGCGGCGCAGCCGGCGCAGCCGGCCGTCGATCCTCGAGACTGTCGACGTCGTCTTCTACGGCTAATAGCCCGCCGCCGGGGGCCAAGGCTCGGGCGGGCAGCCGCGGCGGCGCCGGGGCGGTGGGGGTCCGTGGCAAGCCCTCGTTGGTCGGCGGTGCGAGGATGAGGGGAGGCGTCGGCGCCGGCGGCGGTGCCGGTTCGAGGACCAGCGTGGGGAGGAAGACGAGCGGGAGCCGGCTGCCAACGCTGTCGTCGACGCGGTCGATGGGCTCCGGGGAGGGGATTCGCAGCGGGGGTGGGGGCGGGGAGACCGGGAGGAGGACCAGCGGGAACACCAGGCCCTCCAGCGCGATCAGCAAGTCGCTGCCGCCGTCGCCGAAGCCCTCGGCGGCAGACAAGCGGCTTCGGCTCAGCTCGGACAGCGATGACAAGCGTCCGTGAAGTTGGAATGGCGCGAGCGTCTTCTCTCCCAAAGCGAGCAGCTGTTCTTGTTCATCGCGAATAAATTGAACAGCGAGTGCTGCTGCAAGTTGCTACTGCAAGTCTTGTGGGATTCTTACATGTATGCACGTCGAGCTTAGATACGCTGATGTGTGCTCGGTTTTCTAGAAAATTCGTCATTTCTTTGCGTGCGTTTCGTGCGATGTGTACATGTACGTGGTTGTATTCACTGTTATGTGCGTTTTTCTGGAATACGGTATGTTTCTAGGGGCATAGCCATCATCACCCTGCTGGCGTTTCCTTATTCCGTAGGGATAGCGTGTCGATTCTTTGCTTGGTGGGTGTAATAGTTGGAGACGGGTGGTTGAGCTCAATGCACCAACCAGGAGGTTGGTGCCCCGTGTACGTCTGGGTTGGGTGGGACGACGACGTAAATATGCGTTTTTTCTCGCTCCGCAACAGTGTTGAAGGTTTTGACGTCATGTTTCTAGTTCTTTTCAGGTTTCTATGTAACGGTTCTCCAGCATGTATCGTTATTTCTCATGACGTATGTATGTTGCTGTCCAGCATGGAGCGCGATTTCTCATCACGTTGTTGCTGCTGAATCGTTCCCCTCTCACTCTCGCTCAGCTGCCGACCGGACGAAACCCGGCAGATTGATAGTAAAGAGCGCGTTTGACGCAGGGCATTCACATTGTACGGGTAGTTTTTTATGGGTGTTTTTTCTCCGCGCCAGGCGACAAGTGCACTGCTGTCAAGGGGCGCGGTTATACGTGTAAGGAGGAGAGGAGAGTATATCGGAAGCTTATCGCATGTTCGTTGACTGTGTTGATTTGTTATTGCATGCCGGCCAGGGGTTATAAGAAGGAGAGGGGAGTATGTCGTAAACTTTCGCATGTTCGTTGCTGCTGTGTTGATTTATATTGCATAATGGCCTCGCGTCGTATAAACTCCTTACCTTTTTCTGGCCTAAAGGTCTTGCCGGAATCAGGCCGATGATTGGGATCGGGGGGGTGCGGAGATGGAAGGCAAGGGGCCGCGCTGTAGAATATTGCATGCACTCCCCCCCCTGCGGCTTGTACATTTTGTGTTATGGAAGGCACCGGTATCCGTGCGCCTGTTGAACATGTGCGTGTTGAGACTGCTACTACTACTGCCACCGTGCGCTAACGTATTCCTGCTGTTTTTCTTGGCATATTGTACCTGAGCTTACCCGCTTGTTTTGCCTACCTTTATGGGTGGGTTGTGTTCTCCCTCAGTCGCCTGTAGTTAAGAAATATGTGTACAAACGACGGTACCAGCCGCGGTTGTTGGGCGTCCCGGCTTGCGGGCGTAAGGAGCTGTTTTACACTCGAGCATTTGCTGTTGTAGAACATAGGGGGGGTGTCTGTTTTTGTTGTAGGGGACGAAAAAACATGGATCGACAGAGAGGACGGACAAGCCGCACTATTTTACGAGAACAGGGGCCAGAGGAAGAGGTTGGCCTCGACCTTGCCGAAATTGTTGGCTAATTTTTAAAGGTATAGTCTAGATTACCCCTGTTCAAGAGCTACTTTCAATGGTGACATTCCGTGCTGCAAGGTTGTCTGGAAGCTTTCGACGTGGTGGGTGGGTGTGGGGGTCATCATTAGTCAATAATCTACTGCTTCAAGGGGGGGTTGGGGGTTGCTATGTTTGCTCGCTGTCGAAATCATACTTGACGATTTCAGGCCGAACCTGGTCGCGTTCCCATCCACCGCGCCCACAGGAAGCCGGCAACTGGTGGCTTTGGAGGAGTAAGGAGGCAACATGCAGGGGGGCACTCGGAGAATGGTCTTGCTGTTCTTTTTGTGCGTGATGATGAAGGCATGTCTTGTGGTGGGGCGTAGAGAGTAGAAGTCTGACATCTTGCTATAAAGGGTGAGCCGGCGCAGACGTTCTGTGCGACGACGGCATGTATTGGACTTCGGAGTTTAGTTTTGCACACAATAACAAGCGCGTGAATTCTCTTCTACCTCCTGTGTACTGCCGTAGCGCGCTCTAAGTCAGCTAAACGGACATACGAACGCGTGCCAATCGTACGGCTGGTTCTGGCCGCAGTTTAGGAAACGCACACGCACAACGTACCGTTGGAGTATCTTTCAGGGCTGACTTAATCTGTCTAGTCTTTGCCTCACAAAAGTGGGCGCGTGCGTCCTCCGCCATACGAACGCGTGCCAATCGTATGGCTGGTTCTGGCCGCAGTTTAGGAAACGCACACGCACAACGTACCGATGGGGTATCTTTCAGGGCTGACTTAATCTGTCTAGTCTTTGCCTCACAAAAGTGGGCGCGTGCGTCCTCCGCCATCTCGCCAGTAGTGGCGAGACGCCGATTAAATAAATGTACCGAATCATAGAGCCGTGACCACGGAAGGCGGCCGCGTCAGTTGGACAAGCACGGATACTGTTTTGTGTGTTTTCGTCCTATTTATTGTGGCGACAGTCCCCCCATTTTTTGTGGTGAGACTTGTACTACACTTTTCAGCGTATGTAGAGGGGTACACTTCTCATGTGTTTTTTCGTGCAACTACAACCATCCAGGGTCACAGGAGGGGGTAAACTTTTCAGTGTATTTTTTTCGTACAACTACAACCATCCAGGGTCACACAGGAGGGGGTAAACACCAGGGCGTTTTTCTTCTTGTTTCTTTTCATGCCTCACCTTCCTCCTGCGGTGCGTGCTGAATTTTACTTTTATCGCGAGAAGGGTCCAGCCGTCCCTTTCCCTCGTCAACGGTGGTAACGTCGAAGTTTGGTACCCACGAGAGCTTTTTAGCTTTCACCCGCAAAATTCGTAATGTTTTCACCCCATGGGGATTCGAACTCACGACCTCTGCGACTAGCGGATTACGAGGATACCACTCGGCCACCGGGGCGACCGGTAGACGTACCCTAGAAGGTACTGAACGGAGACCGGAACGGTGGTTAATGTAACCTACGACACGCTGGGGGGTGCAACAATAACCGCGTCCTCGACAACAAACAAATTATAGCGAGCCGTCGTGCACGCGAACATGCACACACTCCACGCACCAAAATGCGCCGCGCGCCTCTGGGTATCGTTACAGTCAATCAAGTCAGCTGGTACGCAAGCGAGCGAGGCTTTCCTTGCCTGACCGCCGAGAAGAAACCAAACGCCTGGAAGGTTTCGTTGCTTGTACAGATATGCATAGCACACACACGAAAGCGGGTGGCGTGAAACCTCTGCCGGCGACACTCGTAATGTCGCGGAGGTGTGAATAAGATGTGTTTGTAAAAAAAACACGTACGACGCGTGCACCCCTGGCGGCACACCGGCCGAAGACCCTAGAGACGCATCAACAGATCGATGTGTATTTTCTAGAGCTACAAATATGCACTTGATGCACCGTAGAGCACAAAGCACATGGCAGCGGGACGTGTTTCGTACACCACTACATAAGAGAGTACCAGGTATGTATATATGCTACAGATGTGTTTCCTCACAAAAAGAGTTATTTTCCCGGACACAAACGAATACCGTATACTCCTATATTAATCAACACGAGGACAACGGCGAAGACGCACCAACATCGGTATCAACGGCAACAACAACAAACCACCAAGAATCTCGCACACAAGACCCAAGATAATTAATTCTCGGCCCTACTCAAATCATGAGTAGCGTCCCCCTCCCCTCACTACCCCGTGGCCCTTCCAAACACAAACAACACGTTTTGCCAAAAAGAGAGAAAATAAATTGGCGCAACCAAAACTCACCGAGAGAAAAAAATAACCTCACGGTCAGTCTATCTAGTCTATTGAGAGCGGAGCGGGTGCTGCTTTGGTAAGAACTTTGACTCTCAACACTCTCTCCGACGCCGCCATGTACAGGTACCCGTCGTCCGCCAGAGCGACGTTCGCCACGAACACCCCTCCCGTCAAGATCATTCCCAGGTGCTGCCCCCCCGGGGACACTACTGCAACGCCCCCGGGTGCTGCGGCGAAAATGTTCCCTCTTTCGTCGACCTTCACCCCGTCCGGTACCCCCACGCCGTAAGCCTTGGGTACCAATCGTGGGGATATCGATCAGGGACAACAACAAAAAAGCAAGAGGGCACGGGTGGGGGAAGGGCAAGGAAGGATGGGGGGGGGCACACATGTGCATGCCCTAGTTGTTACACCGGGGGCATCTCTACCGCGTTGCCTGACCCTGCTGACCATCGACCATGCCTCGTCCCCCTTGCGACGGGGCGCGGTTTTCTACCCCCGATTCCCGATTGAGAGACAAGTGCATCTGACAGAAAAACCCGGCGGCGCGATATACGCCTTTATTCTCCACTTTCCATCTTCATCACCCAAGTTTCTGCAACCGTGCAGCAACCTTATCGGAGACATCACGAGGGCTGTGGGCAAAACGCGACCAAGTCAAGGTGAGCAGGGGGTCGATATGCCGACATAACGCGGCGCGGCCAAAGGGTTCTACCGCCAGCCACGTTTCGCAAAATCGCTGGAAGCGATTTGCTTGGCTAGGCCGGGGGAAGAGAGGAGGTTTTTTCCAGTGACAACGCGGAACAAAAGCTCAACAGGTAGGCCACGCAGACTAACCACACCCCAACGCAAATACTTAGTAGTAGACTGGTCCAAGTCCATCTTCTTTGCGCCCAACGGTGCCACTACGTCTCTGGTGAATGTGTATTCCGCACACCAGCAAGAGCCTCAACGAGTGCCGTCGACGTATCTACCTACGCTGCAGTTCTCCCTCTCCTCGAACAAAACCAGCACTCGGGAAAGGGAAACGGCCGGCTGTTAGCAGGGCATCAACGTTGAGGTACGGCACTATCTAGCAGCTCGGCTTTCTCGCCGTGGCTGGGAAGAACTACAGCCGTCCGAGAGTACGATGCCCACGGCGTTTGGGCGTAATATTTCGCCAACGCACATAGGAACAGCAGTCGCACCTCCGCAAACCCAGAGCCCTCCCTCATTCCACAGGAAAACACGGACCCTTGGCGTGCGCGTCGCGTAAGCACCCACGCCTGTGTTGTACGAACAAAAATAAAACAACCGCCTTGATGAAAACAAGCGCATTGGGTTATCACCCAAACTCACCTCCTTCATCGGCCGCGCATCTAGGAACAACCTCCGATTGGCCAGCTCTCCGTCCTCCCCGACGTCGTACACGTGCCATGCCGGGCGCTCGGGCGACGAGACAGCCAGATACAGCTTCGAGAAGTCAGGGGAGAACGCCAGCCCGTTAGGCCAAGTGAACTCTGCCGGGGGGTTGTGGGTGGGAGAGAGGCGTGTACGGGGGCGGGCGGGGGGGAGCCAGCGTCGTAGGAGAAGCCGACACATAAGTTTCGGCCTGGCGGAAATGAACAGCTGTAAGCTCGCAAGCTCCGTGATCACGTGCGATGAAGGGCAATGAAAGGACTCAGGCGCCGGAAGTGCGAGAGAGGCACGTGATCAGCATCGGCACCTGCGGCCAAAACGAACCAGCAACAACAGCAACACCGCCACCACCAGTAGTTGACCCACCACCAAAAACTCTTGGACAAACTAAGCGAGTGCGAGGGAGACACGTGATCTGAAACGGCACCTGTGGCCACAAGGAAACAACAGCAACAGCAGCAACAGCAGCAACAGCAGCAACAGCAGCAGTAGTAGCACCACCACCACTACTACCGCCAACTCTTGCTTCAACTACGTTTACAACTACACGTACAACCATTTATATGATGGCGCGGCAACGCCGGCACACCTTTCTCCATGAGCTCCGGCTCGGCCCCCGCCGCCTCCCTCGCCCCCGCCTCCCCCGCTTTCGCAGCCTCGATCACCTCCCTGCGGATCCGGTACACCCCACCGAAACCGTGGGCGGCGAAACCGGGGTCCTTTTGCCGCAAAGGCAGCCCGTACGGGGGATCCGTGAAATAGATGTCCCCGCGCTTCGAGATGGCGAGGTCGTTGGGGCTGTTCAGGCGGTGCCCCTGTTTTTTTGTTTTTTCGTCCGCGACGGCGTGAGAGCCGGTGGAGTAAGCATGCAGAAGGAGGTGAGAATTTTCCATTGGGGGGGGCGCTCAGATAGAACAATCGTGTCGCCTGTACTGCTGTGCGGGGGCTGCGTTGGGTTCGAAAGGGTGTCTTGGACGTGTGTTTCGGACAGCGTATTGTAGTCGCCGAAAATGGTTGGTGTTGTATGTATGCTTGATTCATGCTGCTGTTGGTGATGATCATTCAAGGATTCCAAGACTGTGTTCCACCTGCGTGTTGCTTGCTCCATTGCCTGTAGCCATGTTTAGGAGGGACGCTCGACGGCAGCGGCCGCCACCGCATCAGCCTGATCTACAGCACCTACACTGGCCGCCTTGCCCGTGCCGGCTCCTTTTCCTGCAGTTGGCGCGATAACGGCAATGGATGAGGACTAGGCACGCTCATCGGCGGCGGCGGCGGCGGCGTGCCTGGTCCTCATCCATCATCATCATCTCGCCGACTGCAGGACTAGGAGTAGGCACAGGCAGAGCAGGCAGTGCGCGTGTCGTAGCCGAAGGTAGATGCGGTGATGGTAGACCAGGCCAATGCGGTGATGGCCGCTGTAGTCGCCACCGCCGCCGCCTTGGAGCGTGCCTGTTTCTCAATCGTCGGCATCATTGCGCACACTGCAGGAATAGGAGCCGGCACAGGTAGAGCAGCCGATGCAGACCCCACAAGCCCAGTTGCATGGGGTGGCCGCGGGCTTGGGGGTCTGCATCGGTTGCTCGGGGCTTGTGGGGTCTGCATCGGCTGCTCTACCTGTGGCGGCTCCTATTCCTGCAGTGTGCGCGATGATGCCGACGGTTGAGAAGCAGGCACCCCGATGACAGCGGCGGCAGCGGAAGCGGACGCCACCGCATCTGCATGGTCGATAGCATCCGCACTGGCTACTCTGCCCGTGCCGGCTTCTATTCCTGCACTCGGCGCGACTACGGCCATGGATGAGGAACAGGCACGCTCAATGGCGGTGGCAGCGGCGTGCCTGGTCCTCATCCATCGGCATTATCGTGCTGACTGCAGGAACACGTGCCGGCACAGGCAGAGCAGCCAGTGCAGGTGTTGATGTAGACCTGGTATATTTCGACGCGGTGTGGTAGCCGCTTCCGCCGCCACCGTCGAGCGTGCCTGCTTGCTCTCCATCCACCGCGAGTGGCGCTGTGAGCACGGAGGCGAGTCGGTACAGGCGTAACAACTACCACCGCCGCCACCACCGCCGCCGCTGCCGCCGCCGCGGAGTCTGCTGAATTGTCTCTTTTCGGTGCGAGAAGCCCGCGTAGTGTACATGAACGCAACCACGCACGCACGCACACACACAAGAGCATGCACACCTCGAGCAAGCGAGTTGTTTCATCAGGGAACAGCAACTACCCTGACGCAACAAAAACAAGTTGCTGTGCGTTCATCATCTAACAAGGCCCGCTTCGTCCTCAAGGCGCCGGAAACGACCCACTCGCCATACAAAGGTCAAGAGCCGCGCAACTACGGAAGCGTGCTTTTGAATGAACGCTGAAAAAAGTCCGCAAGCCACCACAACCACAAGCGGAGGAGGGGAAGTGGTGTACCGCGGTTGGTTGTCGCACAGCGCGCGCAACACGACACAACTGACACGCCTTGGGTGCGATTTGATCAGGCCAATCCCCGTGCGGACCCGTCGCATGCATACACAAATACGTCGCTCACGTTGAAGTGGGTAGCCAGCGGTGTCTTCGTCCCGTTGTTCTCCATCCTCGTCACCCTCCGGTCGCCGTGCTCACACATTACCACCTCCCCAGACCCGGGCACCTACTCGTGAGACCAACCCCAGAATCCACCCGGCGAAGCATGCGTACCAAACACAAGAACGAAACAAAGAGTGCCACCATGGACGAGACGCAAGAAAATGCACCAGCTTGATCCGGCCTGATCACCAAGAACCATCGAAATCTACCTGAGTGTCAAAGCCGGGTTCGAGGGGCATTGTCGACTGAGCCTCAGCGGCAAGGTGCCTAAACAAGCCGAACAAACATCTCAAGAGGGAGTTTCGTTCTATGCTCTAGGAGGGGTTCTACAAAAGCACAGTTTTACGATACGGCGCGTTGTGATACTCAGCCGCCCATTTGGAAGCAACACGTGCGTGGCCATGAAGGTATGGTGTCTGCCCAACAGGCAGCCAAATCTGCACCACGCCTGCGCTGTCCCCGCTCACGCAGCTACAAGAAGATCAGTCTCGAGCGGAAGCAACAAGTACACCCACCAGCATGAGGCCGTTCGAGCCTGACATCTCCATCGACGAACAGTGGGCCCCACGGCAGCCGCTGCGATCCAGGAAGAGAGACTTGCCTAGCGTGAACAGCCCGCCCCCTTCCTGTTGGTGGTGACCGGACAAAGCCGGCGGCAAGGGCAGCAGCAGCAGCAGCAGCGGCAGCGGGCGTGGCAACGGCGGAAGCAGCAACAATAATCACCGGCGCGCGCACTCACACTTATTGCCAATCGGCCAGGGCAAGCCAATCGTGGGCGCGAACATAAAACAACAGTTCCCTTGGTACGGATATGATGCAGACATATAATATATGTGGAACGAATCGCCCCCCCGCCGGCATCGTGCCCCCCGCCCCCCCCTAATCTTCGCGTCACCGTACCCTGGACTTGTAGCACGAAATCATAGCACGCTAGCTGAATGACTATACCTCCCACTTCCATATCCTGTTGTTGGCTATGTCGGAGAAGAGCAGGTATTGCCTGTCCGCCTGTGGTCGGGCGCGCAGCACAAGACAGACAGATGGGAAGATGGAGCAAGTGAGAACGTGACGGACAACAAGAAGCTCCAGCTGGTGCAGATGGACATCAAAACGCTGTGAGATCAGACTATGGCATATTTTATGTAAGGTGCAGATTGAACCAGCACTTGTATTTCAGGTACATATTATACAAACGCATCGGGTCGTCGCACAAAAGGGGCTGGGTTGAGATCAGGACGTGTATGTTGTTGAGTTGGATTGATGAAAGAAAAGAAAAATCAACACGTGAAGGTGCAAACAATTTGCAATACATGGAGTCTTGAAGTGATGAAAACTGTTTTCACCGGCAGCTTCTGGAAAGTCCCTACAGGATTAAACCAACACGGTCGTGTTCCTTGGACCTATGNAAAGGTATATGGACATGGATACCTTTGGACATGGCGATGGATACTTTCCATCTTCATGTGTTCACGTGCTTCAGCGCGGGCTTGGGGGCCTAGCAATTTGCGTAATCTTGCCACGGAGCCCCCGGGACTGTTGGGTTCCCGTCGCTGCACTTACTGCTACAATAGCGCTACAAGATCAGAGCAGTGTGCACCAGCTGGTGTGCCAAGCCTAGGCGACACACACACAGAGAGAGAAAGAGAGAGAGAGAGAGAGAGAGATAGAGAGAGAGAGAGAGAGAGAGAGAGTTCCTTGGGCGCATCGACGGGACTGTCAGCTTGATGCTCGGGACCCTGCGACAAAAAAAAAGCAGGTGCACGTGAAAGAGAGGACCTTTGTGCTGTTGTATACTTGAGAGAGAGGAACAAGAGGTTCGACTTCTGCTCACCTCAGTGTCATGAACCCACTGCGTGCCCTCCGTGAAACCAAACCCATCGGCGACAACCTCCACCTGTAACCGTTCGAAAAAATCGAAAAAAGTACAAGGCGGCGGTCGGTGTCCGGCGGCACACAGACAGTCAAGTAGGGGCTGGGGCGCAGTGATCTTTCTTCCATCGTATGCGTGATGCGTATCCATCGTGCACACGCACACCCTCCAACACAATACGAAGTACCAACCACGCGATCCTACTGCTGCTGCTGCACGCCACCTCCCATTTGATGTGTTTGGTGCTCACCGTTGCTCCCCGGGGAATGATGTCATCGAGCTGCTCCGGCACAAGCCGCTTAATGCTGCTGCCCGCAACCTCAGGGTACTGGTTGAGATGCTGCAGCAGGAAGTGCAGGTAACAGCAGAGCCCGGGCAAGAACAAGCCGGTCCATGCGATCGATGCCGCATTCTCGGGCTTCCACCTCGAGATCATTTCAAAGTTTCAAAGAAAACGAGTGAATGCGTGAACGCTACAGCCGGCAAGAGCAAGGCAAGAGACTGTTACCGGGGATAATTCTCTGGCATCCCCGGAATATCCAACTTGGCGTGCTGCCGCAGCAGCACAAATTCACGAACAATAATCGCGTTTGAAGGTACATACAAACGCTTGGGAGGAAACACAAACTATCCTACATTGCGATACATTCGTCCTATAGATGAAGCAGGAAGTATTACGGCCTACGGAAGCGCCGATCCTGAAAGAAAGAAAACAATAGAAAAAACGAGGTGGCAGCGACGTCCCGAAAATATATCGATGAAACTGGGGCCTCAAAACCCTCAAGACGGTAAATGTGTCAGTGTGGCGGCTCCAAGTCATGAAAGACAGCAGTTACTGGTGTTCGAGTGGCAGAGCGCGTGGAGGTGCAGTTTGCTGCGATATCACACCAAGAAATTAAAGAGTAGCGGAGAAAGAAGCCCGCGACCCTCTACACTACCCGAAGATAGATGTTGTCGTGCTTTTTGTGCGAGCGAGCACCTGCTGCCTACCGAGATTACTTGCGGATGTCCTCTCGGGACTCAACGGGTCGTCGGATTTCGACATGGCCAACTTACGCGGTGTCGCCGTGTTTCACGTGGAATGATGCGGTGTACGACAGGTCTAGGCCGCGTGCGTCGTCCAGGGAAAAACGCGTGTGGCGAGCCGGAGTTGATATTGACCTTGTCCGTTCGAAGCACCTCGTGCTCTCTCTCCCTCCCTCTCCCTCTCGCCTCTCTCCCTCTCTCTCTCTCTCTCTCTCTCTCTCTCTCTCTCTCTCT